CATTAGGGAGATGAAAGAGCTACATTTCTGCAGCTTCAAGCTTTCTCCCGTAGCTCTCTCTATTTTTCTGCTATGAACTCCCCCCTCTATTTTTGCAATGCATTTTGGCTCTTTTATGATGAAAGGTGGTCAAGAAATGAGGATTACATCTCCCTTTTACAGCTGGGAATGTTTCTCACATGTCTAGCATCCAATGTGAGTTGGTGGAGGTGAAATTGATTTTTTACGCGTACAGAGCAGCCTTTTCTGACCAGTGATCCGAGCTGCTACAGTACCTCGGATCCGTATGGATCCGAGCTCGGATCCACTAACCCAGAAACAACCGAGGGTTCGGATGAATAGTGGATCCGAGTGTGGATCACTTGCTCTGTTTTTGGCCCAACTTCAACCAATCTTTTCTTGATGTTAGAGGCTGAACCAGCTCTTGACCAAAACATAAAACTTGTAGCCCTTTGAGTTAGCTTTCCAATGCATCAAGAATCACCTCATTTGGATCTGTGTAGGCTGAGAAATGACCGAAATACCCTTGCCTGCTCATTGCCCTGTTCCAGTTTCGACCAGTAGAAATTTGCTATTGTAATTCGGCATTTTGACCTGGAAAACCTTCAAACTGGATTTAGATGTCTTCACCAAAGTTGTAGATCTATCTCTTATCTTCAAATGGGTTCAAGAAGCATCCCAATCCGATCATTGTAACTCAAGTTATAGCCGAAATACGAAAATGTGTCAAAACTGTCAAAATACACAAAATCCAAGTAAAAAGTGATAAAAACCTCATTTAATCACTTAAAAGCATTTTTCACCAATTATAGCCAAAATGATTCATATTCTTCCAATAATATAACCAAAGTGACTAAAAATAATATAAAATGTCATACAATTATTACGTAAATTAGTCACTTATCATATATCAAGAACCTTATGCCTCAATCTCTACCAAAGTTTTTTTTTCTTTTTTTTTTTTTGTGGCCACAGGTGCAAGAGAAAGATACAAGGTTTTTTTTTCTGGTTTACTTACTTTTTCAAGGGCTGACCAAGCAATTTTTGGGTAAAATCTACGAATCCAAAATGGTTAATTTAAGTTGTTTAGTAGCTTTTAGATCCAAGCTTATAAACCATTCATTTCCCGTCAAAATTAGGTTATATTGGGGTCAATAAAAAAAGAAATTCATGTGCAACGGGCCAACGGATCTTCTTTCTACATGCTATGTGTTTTTTAAATTAGTATCAAATATCAGGTTGATTCCATAAATACATATATTGAATTTTGAAGTTATGACAACTAGTTTCAACTCTTAACCAAATCCAAAACTAATATCATATTTTTGAACGTTAAATTTACTACAACTTAAAATTCAAGTTTTATTTATTTATTTGACTAGTTGGTGATAGATTCATCAAACTTTGTATAATAGTTGTTGCTTTTTTTGTGTCTTAATTTAATGTCATCTTATTTTGCTTAATAGTTTTTGATAGTTAATTATGTAGTTAATTAGGATTTATGTATACACTGAGATAAGTAAAACCACTGTGTACTTTTCTGTAATTTAAATATTTGGTAAGATTGTTAGTGGAGTCAAACCAGCTCGAGTCTGGCTTACTTGGCCTAAAAAAAAAAAAAAAAGACCCACTAAGACTTGTGTTTAATAGAGTCGGCAGAGTTTGAAGAGGTTTGAATTAAATATGAATTGAATTTGGACTTTATTAGGTTTAAGCCCAATTAAGGCTCGAGCTATGTGTATTTTACCCTCTTATGGTTTGATTCTTTATCGTATAATCTCCTTATAGTTTAAAAACCTATACATAACCCCCTCATGATTTAGATTAAAGTGTCACTATTAGTTTTACAATTAAAACCAGCTATCAAAACTAAAAAGTTAAAATCAACTGATAAAATTCACAAATTCACCACTCCTTTTTTCCATTTTTTCTTTTTCCTTTGGAAAGAGCAAAGAAGATTTTACAAAATGTATTTTGACCTACTAAATCTCAATAAATCTTAATTTTTTGCAAATCTTAATAAAACTTAATTTTAATTAAGATTATAAAAAAAGACACGTGCATAAGTTGTAGTTAGTGTTTTTAAACTCGAACCGATGACTGACCAGACTGAGCCATCGGTTCCCAGCTTTTTTGGTTCAACTAGGCGGGTCACTGGTTCACTACTTTTTATTTATTTTCAAATTTTAAAAATTCTCAAAAAATCATGATCTCCATTCTCCATGGTGTTCCTGCACATAGAAATATCACTAGATCCCAAGTCCTCTAATTTCACCATCATCACCTAAACAAATGATTTAAAACAATCTTTGTTCACATTAAATTTAAAGTAATCTCTTCCCAAAAATCAAAGAAAAACTTTTAAATCCCCTAAAAAAATTTCTTGGTCACATGAAAAAATATTAAAAAAGAAAGCAAAATTTCATATTTGATAGACAATTTTTTCATACTATAAAAACAAAGAAACAGAGAAAAATCAAACGAACAAAAAAATTGCAAATCAAGAAAGAAACTTTCAATTCAGCATATATTGAAAACAACAAAAAGAAAAATTCAAATGAAAAGATGAAAAAAAAGGAGTTCAACATACACACAAGAGAAAGAATAAAACTTTAAAAAAGATTAAACTAAAATGGGTGGAATAAAACACCAACAGATTAAACTAAAGAGTGGGATTAAAAGGATGGTGACAAAGAAAAAATGGTCCAGGTGGCCTATTAGAATTTCTATATCTGGGGCCAGCAATGGTCCCCTCCATTAGAAGGAAGCAGCAGATCAATATTCATTAGGAGGCTCCTCGACAGGGATTCTTCAAAATCAACATTGATGGATCATCCTTGGGGAACCTAGGGAAAGCAGGAGCAGGTGGCCTAATTAGGAATCACATGGGAGAATGGCTGGGAAGATCCTACGGGAGCCTGGGAACTGCTACCAACATTGTTGCTGAATTATGGGCATTAAGGGACGGGCTCTGCCTAGCTAAATCTCTTAATATTTCGCATTTGGTCATTGAGTTGGATGCAAAAGTTGTAGTGGACATCCTAAACACTCAAAATTTAAACACTCAAAATTTTGACACTCATGAATTTTCCCCTATCATCGTTGATTGCAGGACCGCCTTGTAGAGCTTCGAGCAAACACATATTAGGCACATCTACAGAGAAGCTAACAGATGCACAGATTTTTTGGCAAAAATGGAAACAACAGCCAGCCAAGAGTTCACTTGCTTGTCTTGTAAACCCACAGCTATTGGTAGGTTGTCAGAAGAGGACTGTAGGAGTTTTTGTTTGCCCCGCATTGTAAATGCTACTTAACTCTTTTATTACTATTTAATGCATTATATCTTTTGTACCAAAAAAAGAATAAATGACTATTTTTGGCTTTGTGCAACGCATGATTATCAAAGGTACAATACTCCGAGAGTAGACAAATGCAATTGCACCAGAGTTTTTTTTTTTTTTTTTGTTTTTTGCTATCAACATTTATACATCTTCGTATCAACCAAATCAAATAAAATAGCAAAATAATCCTAGCCAATAATTCAAGGCTATCTTAAACAAGGCAAGCAGAGCTGAGTGGCTAACCCTTCCCCAGCAATGGCGTTTTGGCCTTTCGGAAACGGGATAAAGTTTAAATATGTAAAGCTATTTAGATTTTAGTTTCCCCTCACCCCTTTTCTTACATTCTCCTATTTTCTTCGCCAACAAAAGTTAAGTCTTGCTGGTGAGTTGGTTAAACAACTCGACATAAAGTCCGATGGAGATGTGTTTCATGAACTCTTTAGTTAAAGACCACATCACATACTAGCCGTTAGCCTACTAATGTACAAGGCTATGATTTGCATGAGGATGATAGGGGAACGATAGGATCGGCCATCTTCTGGAATTGTACTCCTGGTAACTGAACTTCCTCATAGTTTCTCTTCTTTTCGTTTTCTCCCCTTCAAATATTCCCCATTTTTCTTGTTTATGATTCTGCATGCAAATATACATTGAAGGAAGATACTTTTCCATATGAATCATGACTCCATGTGATAGAAACTAAACAAAAGATGACTCATCTTTTTTTTTTTTCAACTATTATCACATTTGCATAACTATTTTGTACCTTTAGTGGCCTTTTGTAGTTTTTTTTCTCTTTTTCTTTTTGTAGAAAAAGTGGTTTCTTATAGTTGAATTGTCGATCAAATAGCTTTAAAAGTTGACATTGCCCAAAAACAATTGAGCAAGTTTTCAGCTCAAACATGACCTTGGGGCAACACTAAGATTGTTCTCATTATGTAATCAAGAAGACAAAATTGGAAGGTTTGACAGGTTTGTTTCTTATCGTGAATCACTTGTCATGATGCTTGGAGTGTGTTTGGATTGGAATTTATTTGGAAATATTATTTTTATTGCATCATAAATAATTTTTTTAATCAGCATTTTATTATTTTAACTATTTTTTATTTTACATACATCACATTATGAAAAGTTCTACAGTATAATTTTTAATTTTTTTAAAAAGTAATCGTCAAACAGACTTTTTATTGGCCTTAATAACTACTGAATTTTGCTTGTTCTTTTAGAGTGTCACACTTGATCTACAAATCATTGATGCTTTATTTCTTTTATCAGATGGAAAATAGGAAGCGGTCAGAGTGATAAAAGAGGCCATAGATAAGGAAAAGAAGTCACATTCAAGATGATTGAAGGAGATCTGATGGAGTTCCACTAGAAGTTCCTTTTAATTAACACTTTGGAAATGGCGCCTTACAAGTTTCATTTCGCAAAAGTTGGCGTAGATTGATAATTTACTCTCGAGTCTCGACCTACGCTAAGGTCTGTTTGGTTGGACGAAAAATATTTTCCAGAAAATGTTTTCCTAATTTTTCAGTGTTTGGACACAATCTAATTTGGGAAAATGATTTCTGGTGGAAAATAACTTCCACCGAGGGAAGGAAAATAACGTCCTTACCTATTATTCTGAAGTTATTTTCCTTTCTTAAAAGCACGGCCTCTTCTTAAAATCACGGCCTAAAGGCATTCTTGCACTTCGGTAGATGCCCATTCTCAACGATTGAAGACCATCGATTGAAGACTTATCGGCAAACCAATCCTTCTTCGCCGGCAGCGCCTCCAGCTCCGGCGAAGACCCACTTCCAGAGGTAGGCTACTCTTTCAACTGGGTTATTCTCTTAATCCTTCTTCTTACAGGTCTTGGGCTGAAGCTCTTCATCATTTTCTATTATTTCTTTTCCTACTTTCTTGAATGGTTGGATCATACAGCAATTCATTGTCCTGGCGAGTCAAACTTATTGCTTGCTTATTGATCGTTAGTAGTATTTTTACTGGAATTTCTAGTTTTGAGTGGGGCAGTTTTCTTAATTTATGCATAGTAGGTTTTATTGTTGATTTTTTTTGAGAACCTGCTTTGTTCCCTTAAGGAATTGCAGAAAAAGTTTCTTTCTTTGATGACTTTTGTATCCCATTAAGATAATTTTTGCTACACACACACAATCACACATTGCGTTTGCTTGTGTTCATTTCTTGGAGATTGTACAGAGCTTGATGAAGCTCTGATAGTACTGTACAAGTTATTACTGGTAATTTTGGACCAAGAAAACTCAAAAAAGGAAAGGATAGTGAATAATTGAGCAGGATTGTTATTACAGATTTCTATTTGTTTATGGCATTTATTGTTGCATTAGTTTTGCTGGGATTTTCTAGAACCCTGTATCAAGCATACAACATTAGAAAGATGGAAAACGGGAAAAAAAAAAGAAGGGAAAATGAAGACACTTCTGGTTTGTTAGAAAGACTGAAAATGTTGGTAGCTATGGAAAAGATAATGAAGCTCTGATGTTACAGTTGCCTGTTCAATTATTTTGGAACCTTACTTCAAGCGATAGGGATTTTCTTGCATCGTTAATTTCTTCTGACATAATAGTAAGCTCCCTTTAAAGATTCACAAAAAGTAATAGATCACAGTCAGAATGCTCCAATAACAGATAACGTACATTCAGATTATGTGTCTTTGGAGTTTGGAAGATCTTGTTCCATTAGCAATGGCTAATTTTGAAGCTCTCTCCATTGAAGGGTTGAGGATTCAACGTGGCTAGTCAGATGCAGAAGCACCTTCAAGCATTAGGCCCCAGTTTACTAAGAATTGGACCTCCGTAAGCCAGAATGTTAAACTAGGTGGGGTTATGGGATCTTTGGGATCCGCTCCATTGCAACTTTTGGATGTCAAAGGGGATGATGGTATTGCTGAGTTAATCAAACTCTCTATCTCATTGGATGAACGGTTCAGGTTAGATGCAGTAGATATTGATTATGAGAATGAAGTTGATGGAAAGATGTTGAAAATCTTAGCAGCTTATCATGCTGATCTTTTCAATTTAGGTGGTTTACAGATGACTAGAAATGGTCTACGAGTTAAATTATCAGGTAGTAACAGTCATTTGTTCAGTAACAACTTCACATTAGCTCTTAGGTTGCAGCTCAGAGATCCTTTTCGTGACTTTGAAATGGTTGGATCATCAATGCTTGCTCTGGCTCAAGTTGAAAGAATTTGTATTCCTGTGCATGGCGAAATGCACAGCACAAATAGAGAAACGGATTTGAGCAACGAAAAGGATGATCTGAATGAAGAATTTGCTATGGAAGGAACCAGTGCTGAAGAAAATCATAAGTGCATCAATGCACCATTGACCATTCATCTGTCTATTTAAAATCTCGGTGTCCATGTCGCAGGTTTTAATGTTGAGCCAAATGGTAGGGGCATGTTAATTGATCCTAGACAGCTACAATCTGGGTCTCGATGGTTACTTTCTAGTGGTATGAATAGGACAAGCAAGCATCCTTTTCCCATGTCCAATCAAAATCATCCATTTTCTTACGCAATGATTTGTATTGAATCCATTTAAGAATTCATGGTGTAATTTGAATAAATATTTTATAAAAATGATAATATGATTATAATGGATAGAAGCTAAAAAACACTTATAATGAGATGAATGTTTTGAGAATAGAAAAACATTTGCAACATATCAACAAATATTAAAAAAGGAAGTCAAAAAATATTTTCACTGACAAACCAAACACTAGAAAATTATGAAAAAAGGAATTTGGAAAATATTTTCACTAAATAACCAAACACTGGAAAATTATGAAGAAGGAAGTGATTTTCCAGGAAAATGACTTCGATGAAAAATATTTTCCTGGGGAAAATATTTTCTGTCCAACCAAACGGACCCTTGAATTTGGGAAACTAAACGACGGTGTCCCTGGTCCAAATATAGCGATGGACTTTGCCCTCAAAGCACCATCTCGAATGAAGGGGCATTAAATCATCATATATGGCATGAAAATGTGTTTGGGAGCTCCAAGCACTAAAATCAGTGTGTTGATCGAACAAATGAAATTAAGCTGATGAAGACTATTGTACCAAGTGGAAAATGGATTGAAATTACTTTTGTGCTTGCTCCTATGAATCGTAATAATAATAATTTATGTACTTAAATGTTTTCTTTCTCCTATGAGTTGTAATAATATTTTTGGGCTTTGCTGTGCTCTTAAAATTTGTGTAATAAATTATTATCAGTAGCTTAATGAATTCATACATGACATTATATTAATTGAGAACTTTATGCCGCTATTCCTATCATAGGTGCATTTTTTTTCTTTTTTGGGTAAGCCACAAGTGCATTTAACTTCTTTTCTTAATTTAAAGGTTCGGTTTATTAGATCAACATCAAACTTAACCATAGTTGAAGCGACTTACAAGAACGTCCAAAATCTGAAATGTCAATGTGTTTCATGATTAAAAAAAAAAAAAAAACTCTTTCAGTCAGCAAAGTAATATTATATTGGTACAGTGTTAGTTCCTATAACACTCATTTCTGTGATTTGACATAAAGATACAAGATTATTTATCATGATGGATACACATTTTTTCTTTCTACTAAAATAGGCCAATTCACTTTATATATGTTAAAAACCGTTGAAGCTATATCCTTCATTAAAAAAAAAAAAAAATAGATGGTTAATTACAACGTAGTCATTCACATAGTGTCCTATTATCTTGTGCAACAAAAAATTAATTAGTATGAAAAAAGCATACCATGTCTTTAATAGCACTTTGGGTCTGTTTTGATAATGAAGTTAATTTTTTTTTTTTGCTACATTACAATGACGTTTCTCAATTGTTTATTTTTCCATCCAACTTTCTATCTAATATACATCATATCACTAAAAGCATTACAATATTATTTTAATTTTTTTTTTCAAACATTTTTAATCAAAAAATTTTCTTGTTAGCTCATCTATTATAATTTAATTAAATATAAACTAATTTATACTAGAATTATGTAAAAAAGGAAAATACATTCAAAAGCATGGATGAAATGAAATTTTAACTAGTTGACATTGCTAGTGTGACATATTAAATCTTTCATCAAAACTTACAACGATAGTGATACGTAATATCACTAATATGACAGTGAATTTAGTTAACGAGTGCATAATGGACATTTGTTAAGAGGAGTCAGAGACTTTAATTTTATAAAATTTGAAAAAAAAAAATCTAAATGCATTGGACATTTGTTAAGAGAAGTCTGGGTTTAATTTTTATAAAATTTGAAAAAATATATCTAAATGCATTGGTTAGAAAAATCCTTTGTCAATTTGGCAATTTAGAACTCTAAGATACCTATGGATTAAGAAATTAGAGCATTGGTTAATTTGACCGAAAAAAAAAATAGTGGTCTCATTTGAATTTTGATCCATATCCTCACGCACTAGTCCAGACCATCAGGGGCGAACTTTTGTGTACATTATTCTCAAACAGAAATTGCAACAGCATCATAAACATCAATTGGCATTATTTTTTTTTTCTCCAGTCACATTCAAATTGATTTGAATGGTTAACGTATATTTGGTGTCAAATTGATGAAGCTATGAATCATGTGATATTTTGGCTGACTGAATGGTCACAATATTGATTTCTGTCGGGTAAGAAAATCTCAGACAATGATCCGAATATGACAAATTAAGGAAAAAAAAAAAAGATCGATAATCGACAGCTACTTTGGTCACAAATCCCTAGGCATCTATAAGAGTAGAAAATAGGAAAATACTCTGATATTTATACATGTCAATATCATTGAAGAAAACATCTTACATTATGATGGAGCCAATTGACCTAAATTTTAAAACCATTGGGTTTGTTTGGATTACATGGTTTTAAAAAAAAAAATTCAAATTTTGTTTTATTTGCATCATACACACATTTTTCAATCATATTTTTATTTCACATACATCACATCACAAAAAGTATTAAAATAATTATCTCAAATAAATATTTCATATAACCTCCAATCCAAACAAACCCAATCCATACATCACATCACAAAATTGTGATTCATCTGATTTTTTGTTCCATGTTGTGACATAGCGCAATATATAATATACTGTATGAGCAGTGAACGCTTTTTTTTTTTTTTAAAAGTAAGAGAGGGGTGGCAGTTAAAACATAGAGAGGGGGAAAAAGGATTAGAGCCACATCCTTTCGTTATGAAATTTCGACTTTAATCACTAGATTAATACATCTTTAGTAAGATTTCGTGTTTTGAGAGATTTTAACCTTAATCACTAGACTAACACCTCATCGATAAGATTTCATGTTTTAAATAAGATTTCTGTGATAATGATTCTGCATCCAAATTTGATCCAAACCACTACTCTGCCCATTGTTTTGGTTTTCTAACATATGTTCATTCTAATAAAGGAAAATTGATGTAAATAAATCTGGAATTTTCCAAGTAACCCAATAGAGAAACCTTTTTATCTACAATGTACCAACTCTCATTATTTTTTTTTCCTAGTCTACAATTTGCTATTGACACAATACTGTGAGCTCTTATTTTCCAGCCAAAGCAACTTGTCTTCAAAACCCTAACTACTGGCCGGGTCGACCCATATCCTAATTTGTCATTTGGATTTATCTCTAAGACATATATATATACCTGTGGATCAAGACATTAGAGTATTGGTTTGACAAAAAAATAGTGGTCTCATTTTATCCATATCCTCACGCGCTAGTCCACACGTTCTGTGCAATTATTCTCAAACACGAATTGCAGCAGCATCTTGAAAATACTCATATTAAACATCAATTGGCATTATTTTTTTTTATTTAGTCACAACATATATCTAATGTCAAATTGATGAAGCATCAATCATGTGATATTTTATGGGACTTAATGGTCTCAATAATGATTTTTGATCGCTAAGACAATCTTAGACAGTGACCCAAGTATGACAAATTAAAAGAAAAAAAGGTCGATATTTGATAGCTTGTCTTGGTGACGGCAAACACTTGGGTAGACTCGATCTATATAAATCTGGTAGTTCAAAATTGACTACACCATCTCACTAATTCAAGTATTAAAAATGTGACAAAATTTGGACTACTAGTTCTATAAAGACCAGGTCTACCCAAGTTTTTGTCCTTGGTGACAAGTCTCCAGGTATCAATAGTTGCAAGGACGCTGGAAAAATGCTCTGATATTGATACATGCCAATATCATCGTAGAATGAAAATTTTACGTTATGATGGAGCCAATTGACATAAATTTCAAAACCATTGTGCTTCATCCAATTTTTTGTTTCCATGTTGTGATGTAGCGCAATATATAATATCTATGTGAGACTATGATGCTTTTGTTTTTTAAGCAGGGAAGGGATGGATTAAGAAAAAGGGAGGATTAAAACCCATTACCTCTATGTCATGCGATTTCAACACTAATCACTAAACTAAAATCTCCTGGCTAAGATTTCGTGTTTCAAGTAAGATTTTGTGATAATGATACGGTACCCAAATTTGATACAATCCACTACTCTGTCCATTGTTTTGATTTTTTGACAATTAAACTACTTCTGAGAGTACAACGCCCAAACATGAATCATGGATAGCTTCTATGGCCCCTCCTACTGAACGGAGATTTTTTTTCTTTGGGTTAAAAAATACCGGGTATTTAATGTTGTCTTATGTTCATATTAATGAAAGAAAATTGATGTACATAAATCTGGATTTTTCTAAGTAATCCAATACACAAAGGTTTCATTCGGATTAGCTATTTTTAGAGGTATTTCTGAAATATTTTACTACAATAGTATATATGAAAAAATTTTACTGTAGAAGTTTTCATCTACAATGCAGCAACTCTCATTATTTCCTAATACAAATTAGGAGTTGCTGCATTGTCACTACAAGCTTGCATGAAGCACTACAATAACTGTGCAATCACATTACAAGTTATCACTACAAGCTTCAATTAATTGCAAGACAATCTAGAGCCAGACAAAAACAGAAGGACAAAAAAAATGTAGTCGTATCAGATATACATATCTTTGTGCTACATGGATTAATTCATTAGTCAGACCTTTATTCCTCCTATGCATGGTGGAGGCAGGTATGCCCAAGTAGGGAAACTATTTATTTTTTTTTTCAAACAAGAGGTTTTGGATTCAGGATCTTCTACTTACAATCCTTCTCACCTACCATCCAATCGAATATTTCTTTGAGTAGGGTAATAACTTGATCACACTTAATGTTTACATAATTTCATCCATAGTATATTAGTACGTACGTGTAATTATGAATCGTTGTAGATTTACCCCCATCAAATTTATGTTACACCGGGATCAATAAAAAATGAAATTGAGGTGCAACTTGCCAGTGGATCTTCTTTAATTATATATAATTTTTTTCTAAAAAAAAGTATATAATACATGCTATGTGTTTTTTGAGCTAGTATCAAATATCACTCCAATTTAGGTTGTCCATTTTCTATGGGAAAAATCATGTACTCAGCCAAATCAAATAAAATAGCAAAATAATCCTAACCAATAATTCACGGATAACTTAAACAAAGCAAGCCTGAGTGGCTGACCATTCCCCAACAATGACGTTTTGCCCATTAGAAAACGGGCACAATTTGAATATATAAAGCCCTTCAGATTTTAGTTTTCCCTCATCCCTTTTCTTACATTCTTCTACTTTCTTTGCATACGAAAGTTAGAAGAGATGAGTCTCCCCGGTAGGCTGGTCAAACAAATCGAGATAAAGTCCGATGGAGATGTGTTTCATGAACTCTTTAGTTCCAGACCACATCATATACCAGCCATTAGCCCTACTCATGTTCAAGGCTGTGATCTGCAGAAGGGTAATTGGGGAACGGTAGGATCGGTCCTCTTCTGGAATTATACTCGTGGTAACTATATTTCCTCATGATCTCTCTTCTTTTCTTTTTCTTCCCTTCAAATATACTCCTTTTTCCTTGTTTATGATTCCGCATGCAATTGAAGGAAGATACTTTACTATATGACTCACGACTCTATGTGATAGAAACTAAACAAAAGATGGCTCATCTCCTTTTTATTAAATACTCCCACATTCGCATAGTTTTTTCGTGCTTTTTTGGTGGATTTTTGTGGTTGAATTGTACATAAAAATAGCTCCAAAAGTTACATAATGCCTAAAAGCAATTGAGCAAGTTTTCAGCTCAAGCATGACCTTGGTGGAACACTAAAAATGTTCTCATTATATAACCAGGAAGACAAAATTGGAAGGTTTGACTGATTATTACTTATCATGAATTATTCGTCATGATGCTAGCAGTATGTTTGGATTGGAAGTTATTTGGAAATATTATTTTTATTGCATCATAAACAAATTTTCTAATCACCCTTTCATATTCTAGTTGACGTACATCACATTATAAAAAGTGCTATAATCTTCAACCCAAACAAACCTTTTCTTGGCCTTAATAATTACTGAATTTTGCTTGCTCTTTTAGAGTGTCACACTTGATCTACCAATCATTGGATGGTTTATTTCTTTTATCAGATGGAAATCAGGAAGTGATAAAAGTGATAATTGAGGCCATAGATGAGGAAAAGAAATCAGTCACATTCAAGACGACTGAAGGAGATCTGAAGCAGTTATACAAGAAGTTACTCGTAACTCTTCATGTTGATACCAAAGGTCAAAGCAACCTGGTTACATGGACCTTGGATTATGAGAAAGTAAATGAGAGTGTCCCTGATCCAAATTCTGTGATGGAGTTAGCCCAAAAAGTCACAAAGGATATTGAGGCTCACCATCTCAAATGAAGGGGGTATTAAATGCCATCATATATGGCATGAAAATGTGTTTGGGAGTTCCAAGCACTAAAAATATTAGTGTGTCGAATAAGTGAAATTAAGCTGATGAAGACTATTGTATCAAGTGAAAAATTGAAATTACTATTGTGCTTGCTCCTATGAATAGTAATAATATGGTGTGTTCTACTATGATCTAATAATTTATGTACTTGTATGTTTTCTTTGTCCTATGAGTTGTAATAATATTTTGGGCTATGCTATGCTGCTACAGTAGCGTCGGATGAACAGTACTGCTACAGTCATGAATAGTGCCGATGAATAGTACCGCCGTGAACAGTCCTTTTTTTTTTTTTTTTTTTTTTTTGCTTTTGACGACTCAACACAAGGTTACAACTTCACTTAGAAGAAATTTAATGGGAGTTAAACCCTTGAAAAACCTGTTTTCATGAACGTAATCACGCCAAAAAATTCCAACCTCGATCAATCACAGGATAGGTTAAATTCAAGTGATAAAATCAAGAGAACAAGAATCAAAATTTATTTTTTTGTTTCTTTTAAATCAAAAGGCGGCTAGGGTTTTGGTAGAAAAATAAATAGAAGAAAAAAAAGAAAAGAAAAGGATATTAACCTGAATCAAGAGCCGAAGCTCTGATACCAAGTACCTTAATGAAATAGGTGCAATTTTTTTTTGGTAAGCCACAAGTACTTGCAATTAACTTCTTTTCTTAATTTAAAGTTTTGGTTTATTTGATCAACATCAAACTTAACTATAGTTGAAGCAACTTACAAGAACGTACAAAATCCGAAATATCAATGTGTTTCATGATAAAGACTCTTTCGGTCAGCAAGCATTATCATATTGGTACAAAGTTAGTCCTATAACACATCATTTATGTGATTTGAACTAAAGATTCAAGGTTATTCAACATGATGAGCCAATCTAGATGCATAAACATTTCTCTTTCTGCTAAAATAGGCCTATATATATATATATATAATGTTGCTAAAAGGAGCAAATTTTATGCACATGTCATTAACTTCAAGAATACGAACGTTTTCTTCTTACACTTTACCCTCAAGACTAACTTGTTTTAATAATTATTTCACATGGTCCTCATGAAATATTTGGTATTAGTGTATTGTAACTGAGGTTTTGTAGTCTTAAGATGATCCTAGTCTCTTTGTAATACAAAAAGAGGGAATTATAATTGAAAATGTTAAATATGATTACTGCAAATCAACATTAAATTTTGGTCAAATGTAAAAAACCATTGAAGATATACCCTTCATTCAAAAAATATAGATGGTTACAATGTAGTCATTCACATTGTGTCCTATTATCTTGTGCAACACAAAAGTAATTAATACAAGAAATAGCATATCATGTCTTTAATAGCAGTTTGGGTTTGTTTGGATAGTGAAGTTTTAAAAAAATCTCTTTTTGCTACATAATAATGACATTGCTCAATTACCTATTTATTTTTCCATCCAACTTTCTATTTAACATCCATCATATCATCGAAAATGTTATAGTATTATTTTAAAAGTTTTTTTTTCTAATATTCTTTAATCCAAAAATTTTTTTTTTAGCTCATCTTTTACAGTTTAATTAACTATAAACTAATTTCTACTAGATTATTAAAAAGGGAAAATACATGCAAAAGCATGGATTAAATGAAAATTTAACTAGTTGACATTGCTAGTCTGACAAATTAAACCTTTCGTCAAAACTTACAATGGTAGTGATACATAACATCACTAATATGATCGTGGATTTAGGTAACGATTGCCCATTAGACATTGTTAAGAGAAGTTTGAAGCACTATTTTTTTATAAAATTTGAAAAAAATATCTAAATGCATTGGTTAGAAAAATCCATTGTCAATTTGGATTTAGCTCTAAGATACCTGTGGATTAAGACAATAGAGTATTGGTTAATTTGACCCCAAAAAAAAATTTGTGGTCTCATTTAATCCATATCCTCACGCGCTAGTCCACACGTCAAGGTGAATTTTGTGTGCAACTAATCTCAATCAAAAATCGCAACAGCATCAAAAACATCAATTGGCATTATTATATTATTTTTTCCTCCAGTCACATTCAAATTGATTTGAGTGGTTAACATATATTTGATGTCAAATTGATGAAGGCATGAATCATGCAATATTTGCCCAATCCGGGTAGTTCGAGTGATTTCGTTGCTCCTCTTTAGGATATGGCGGATAATGTGTTCGAGAGGAGTGGACCTCTTCTCTCTGGTCGCAGGGGATTCGGCCCGGACATCCTTGTGTCAAAAAAAAAAAAAGAATCATGCAATATTTTATCGGACTTAATGGTCACAATATTGATGTCTTCTGGGTAAGAAAATCTCAGACAATGATCCAACTATGGAAAATTAAGAGAAAAATGATCGATAGTTGGCAGCTGCAGAAAATAGGAAAATACTCTGATATTGATACATGTCAATATCATTGAAGAAAAAATCTTACAATATGATGGAGCCAACTGACCTAAATTTTAAAACCATTGTGCTTCATTCAACAGTACGTGAGAAGGCTTTTTTTTTTTCCCCTTAAGCAGGGGATATTCAAGAAACGGAGAGAAAGAAGAGGGATTTCTAAATTTTGAAATCTCATTCTTAACTACTTGATTAAGATTTTCTCGATAAAATTTCGTGTTTCAAGATTTCTGTGATAATGGAACGGTATCCAAATTTGATACAATCCACCACTCTGCCCATTGTTTTAGTTTTTGACAATTAAAAATCTCATCTGACAATACAACGCCCAAACATGAATTATGGACATGCTTCTTTGGCCACTCCGATGAGTCGAGTTTTTTTTTTTTTTTTTTTTGCTGTTAAAGAATATGGTATTTATTGCTATGTTATACTCATATTAATAAAAGAAGGGTTTTTAAGGACATTCGTTAACACACCTAATATTCAACTAATTTATCATATATATATATATACACACACACACATACTAACACATATTATCCTCCCTTGTATTTGTATACTTTCTTTATTTAATCTTACATACCCTCTCTTGTATTTATTTACTTTTCGTAATTAATCTTATATTTTAAAAAATATAACACCTGAAATATATCTTAATGAGTGCCTTATAGGCACCCGTCAAACAAACCGATAAAAGAAAATTAATGTACATAAATTTGGATTTTCCTAATTAAGTAACCAAATACACAAAACTTTTTCATCTACAATGCACCACTCTCGTTATTTTTGCCTAATATACAATTTTCTGTTGACGATATTGTGAGCTCTTATTTTCCAGCCAAAGCAACTTGTCTTCAAAATCCAGTTTACCCCTTCTAAAAGTAAACCTGTGGACAATAAATTATGGGACTCAATTCATTGACACCACAAAAATTAATTCTTTCCTCTTGCTATAGTCGTTTACCACCACAAGGGCTTTAATTATCTTGATGATGTTGTTAATGGTTCCAAAATTCAAACCCTTCACGATTATCTACCCATTCATAATTTCTAGACTGAAATAAAATCTTCCATGGCAAAAATCCAACTATCACCAGCCTGTTCTGTTCGGATAGAAGATTATTTCTAATAATTTTGTACAATTTGTAGTTTCATGATATCATATATAATTGAACAACATATTTATAATCCAACAAAAAAAATTACAAGTAACTGTCAAACTAAGCACACTCAATTTGGTTTCTTCACTTGTTTTGGCTCAAAGAAGGGGAACAAATTTTAATTATTCAACTTCATAAATTTCCTTGAGTACCACTAAGAAATTTTTTAGTGTGTTTGGATAGGAGATTATTTGGGATAATTTTTTTTTTAAAAAAAATACTGTAACACTTTTTTGATTTGATATATGTGAGATAAAAAAGTGATTAGAAAATGCATTGATGATACAAGAAAGTCAGTACATATAAATAAGGTGTAAATAAAGTACAATCCAAACACACTCGCACAACTTTTGCACCTTGCATTATATATTTTTTAAAATATAATGTGTTGATGTCCTGCATTTGCACCCTCTCAAATTTACGAGCTTGAAAGATTGGCCAATTTCATAATTTGTGATGAAAAAAAAATGTTATCTGCTAAAGAGGATTGATTTACAAGTGGTTCAGGCGTCAGGAGGAGTCGCATTTGGAGAATATGACTAGCCAAGGTGGTCACGTTTGACGAATGCGACCACCCTATTTTCTCCTTCATCAAAAAGAAATTGAATATAAAAAAAAGGGTGAATGGTCTCATTCGTGGTCCTGGTCTGTGACCATCCTATTTTCTTCATATTAAAAAATAAAAAGTTGGGCACAAATATGACTGCAATTTAAACTGTGGTTTTTGAAAACAGGTGAACATTTTTTTTAAAGAAAAAAGGTGGGCTTCTAGCCTCTTTAGCAAAACAAACTTTTGATTCCCTATAGTTATACTTCATACTAATGTCTATGTAGATAGATTATGCATGGGTTCTAAATTGTATACTATTAAGATTTATGAAAAAGCTTTTGTTGGTAAGTTCAATTCTATGGGTCGAATAAAATGTAGACGAAAATGTAAAAATAAAAGTACAAGTTTCACAATAAATACCTTTAAAATAGTAAATTGCGCTAATTCCATGGGGCTTTATGATTTTGGGAACTCTATCAGTAATTAGAACGTTTAGTAGCATACACGGATGTGGAATATGTCATTGTCTGTTCGTGTGTGTTTGTAAGAGAGATTTAAAAAAGTAGGTAAGAAATTTAGGAGTAAAAAATGAAATGAATAGTGCATTGTATTGCGCAACCGATCTTCTGTCTCGCTTTCTGTGTTACTCTCTGTCTCACTTTTTATTATATTGTTATTTCTGCTTTATAAACATTATATTTTAGTTCTTTTTTATTTTTTTAAGATTCACTAACTATCACCTGAGTAATGTACAAAATTTAACGAACTCAAAAAAATAAAAATTGCATAAAAAAAAGAGATTTTTTTTAATGAATTTTCTCTTGTAATTTTTAAAATTTTCTATCATACATTACTTTTTTTGAAATTGTTGTATTAATTTTTTACTCAATTAATAGTTATTGGATTTTAAAGAAATAAAAAGAAACTAAAATATGATGTTTATGAAGGATAAATAGCAATATAATAAAAAGTGGGACGGAGAGTGGCATAGGGAATGAGACAGAAGATCCGTTACGATTATATTGGATACT